AAGAACCAGTAGAGAAGCTGCCTCCGGAAGCGCAGCCCCAAGGACGCGTTGCTGATTTGTAGCACCAGCTCCTGCTCCGGCTGGAAATGGAGCTCAGAGGATGTCAGCTGCAGCTCTGTGACCTTCACCCTGCAGGAAGGCTCCGGGTCAGCTTCAGGGCCACGAAGAGGGAGTTCACCCAGCCACAGGAAACTCATTCCCTCCTCTTCCAGTCCAGACCTGGGGAAGCTGAGCTGGGTGGAATGAATTCTTCCACTTTCCCTCAAGTGCCCAGCCTGGACTTGGACAGCTCAGAGATGAGCTTCACCCCTTCTTTAGATGCCTTATTGCTTGCACTCCCTTTCCTCCCACACCCTGTGGTTGCTTGACCTGGACCTGGTCTTTTAGCCGAATCCTTTGATTTTGTGTCCATCAGCTGAGCTACATATCCCATTTCTCCTATCCCCACCGTCCCAAGGAAGGTTCTTGTCTCCTGTTTCCGGGACCTCTCCCATTAGCTCCACCCCGGGCGCTAGACCCCACTCTCACCCATTGGCAAGTTTCGTGACTCCCCGTCTCCGGTGCTCTTCGGCCACGCCTTAGCCCCCAAGGCCTCTGCTTTGCCGTTCTTGGCCCCGCCTATGTTGGCTGGCTTGGCCTTTATCTTCTCCGCCCCATCCTGTTTCTTGAGTCCCGCCTCCTCGGTGTGGCCACGCCCCTACCCCTACTCAGTTTCCCCGGCCCGAGACCCCGCCCCCCGGATCCCCTACTTACTCCGAGATGTTGTAGTAGAAGTGGCCCTCCCTGCCCCGCAGGTCCGGAATGGTGATGGTCTCCAGCTCTTGTTCCAGAAAGCGCAAGCCCTCCTGCTTCACTGAGGTAGCAGCGAGACCCTTAGGTCCTGCACCCACAGCTGGAGCGACCCCTCCCTCATCGGCCCTCACCCGGCCCCGCGCCTTACCCAGCTCCAGCGCCTGGGAGGTGACGCGGGTCTTGCAGCCGGGGAGCTCCGCATGAGCGCCTGCCAGAAGCGCTAGGAGGAGGGCCCCAAAGAGGGCCATGGCGAGCGGGCCTGGGGTGGGGTGGGGTCGCTGGAGTCATCAGGGCCGCTAAAACCCACTCCCCGGTTGTCCAACCAGAAGAGGGACAGGCCGGATCGTTACCCTCGAAACAGCTCTTCGGAGAACTTGGAACCAATTATATTGCCTCCATTTGGCAGATGCGGAAACTGAGGCTCAGAGAGGCGACGCGGCTCGCGCTCTAGCTCCCAGAGGATTTGGGGCACGGGGGAAGGGGAGGGGACATTCTCGGTCCCCCCGTGCACCCGCCGCGTGAAGTTTTGACCCCTCGGGGACCAGCGCCCCCCGCCTCCACCACCTCCCCTTTCTTTTAGCAGAGGACAGGCGCGGCTTGCCTGTTACCATGGAAACGGCTGCACGCGCATTCCTGGGGGGTGGCTTGCGGTCTCCCAGGCCCCGCGCCGGGGGAGTAGAGGGAGCTGCCGGCCCGACCTCGGGCTCCCGGGTCTCCCGGCACTGCCGGGTCCTAAATCCCTGCCATCGGGATTCGGCCTGATATCCAACCCCCCCCCAAAATCAGCGCCCTCCTTCATGGGATCTCTTCCCCACCCCGGGTTCAGGAGACCACGCGGCTCAGCGAGGGCCTGAGGGTGGATGGGGACGCCCTCCAACTCACTGCGGCGGAGCTGGGGGTCGGTGCGGTCACGTGGGGCGGCGGGCTGCGCAGGGGATCCGGGCGGCGGGGTCTGGCGGGCTGTGCTGGTCCAGCCGCCTTTATAATGCCGGGCCTCTCCGACCCCCCTCCTCGCTCCCGCTCTCCCCTCCTCCCTCGGGGGTTGGGAGGGGACGGGGCGGAACGCTGGCAGCCGGGAGGGTGGAGAGGGCTGTACGGAGCCCCGTGACAGGCCCGGCGGCTGTCAAGACAAGTGGGGGACCCAAGCCGGGAAGGAGGGAGGGAAGTGCAGGAGTTGGCCTGCCCAATCCCAACAGTCCTTGCTTCTCTGGGACCTTGGTTCCAATTCCAAATGCCCATGTCTTCCTCTATGATCCTGAGCAAGTCACTTCACTTGGGGCACCGTGCCTCAGTTTCCTCATCCAACGAAATGTGCGGGATACTTGGGACAACCCGCAAAATCAATGCCCAAGACACATTATCTTCCTTCCTTTCCACCCACAATCATCAAGACCTCTCCTTGCCAGGCTTCACCAGGGGAACCCCCCCCAAATGTCTCTATGTCACTACCTAGGGACCTAACAGGCCCAGAGACTTCTCCCACTGGGGTCCAAGCAAGTGCTGCCTGCCCAGGTGGACAGGGCACAGGCTGCTGGAATCACCCCAGAGGGAGGATGGGTGTTTCCCAGGGACTGTGGATTTTGTGTGTGTGAGCACCTTTGGAGCTAGGTTCTCGGCACAGTATCTCCGTCTACTGCCTGCAGGGTGTTCCCAGCTCCTGGCACCTGCACAGAGTAGTGCTTGCTACCTTTTTTGTTGTCCGATGGAGGAAAGAGGAAAGGAAAAGCGATAAAGGTGAGTGTCCACTGAACATGTATGTAGCACCAAGCACTCATCCGGGTAGGAATACCAACAGGTCCTGATTTGCCCAGGACCTTCCTAGCTTTGAAACTGAACGTCTTCCTTCCAGGAAACCCCCTCCATCCCAGGCAAACCAGGATGGTTAGTCATCCTAGATCTAGACTAACTTATTTAATCTTCTTAACCTATGAGGTTGGCACTAATATAGACCCACCCTAGCAGGAAACCAGAGGGAAAGACCACCATGCAGCTACTACTGGAAAACCCATGAACTGTGCAAGGGTGGGAGGTGGTGTTTATAGCCCAGTAATTAGTGCTTAGACTCTTGAGTCTGACAGACCAGGATTCACATTCTAGGAATTTGTCCAATTCTTGGACCACTTACTGAAGCACCTCTGAGGCTTAGTTTCCTCTTTCTAAAACAGAAACAATAAGGTTGTTGTTGCAAGAATAAAAGTGCCTAGTGCATGTGCTGAGCACAGTACGTGGCACACCATCAGTGCCAAATAAATGCTGGCTATTAAGGTTAGGGGCACACACCACAAGCACATGAAACAGAAAGGGTGTAGGAGAGGAAGGAAGAAAGAGCTAAGGATATCCAGAGGAGGAAGTGCCTTCGTGCTTTGAACTCTAGTAGCCCTCACTCTTCCTGGAGCCTGGCTCAAGCAGAAAACCTGGCAGATGTTAGTTTTCTTTCTTCTCACTTTCCTTTTTTTTTTTTTTTAAGATTTTATTTATTTATCTGACAGAACACAAGCAGAGGGAGCGGCAGGCAGAGGGAGATGCGGAGAAGTAGGCTCCCAGCTGAGCAGGGGGTCCAATGTGGGGCTCATGGGGCTCCATCCCAGGACGCTGGGATCATGACCTGAGCCAAAGGCAGACGCTTAACCGACTGAGCCCCCCAGGCGCCACTCCTCTCACTTTCTTTTTTTTTTTTTTTAGATTTTATTTATTTATTTGACAGAGACACAGTGAGAGAGGGAACACAAACAGGGGGAGTGAGAGAGGGAGAAACAGGCTTCTTGCTGAGCAGGGAGCCTGATGCGGGGCTCGATCCCAAGACCCTGGGATCATGACCTGAGTCGAAGGCAGACGCTTAACGACTGAGCTCCCCAGGCGCCCCCTCTTCTCACTTTCTTACTGAAATGCAAGCTCAGTCTTTGTATCACTGGGATCTCCTGTGGGAGATTCTTGTCTCCTGTGCGTCACTGTCCCCACAGCAGCCCCAGTGAGCTTTAAATGTAGCTACGTGATCTTGGGCCAGTGGTCTAACCTCTCTGGGCCTGTTTCCACATCTGGATTACTCGTGAGGATTAAAAGAGTTAATGCATTTAAAGGACTTGATGAGCACCTGGCATGTAGTAAGGGCTCAAAAAACGTCAGCTACAGTCATCAGCATCCTTCACCAGCATCTAGTGGCTTTCAATGACACTCAGAATAAACTCCTGCCTCCGTGCCCTGACTTCCAGGCACGTGACACGTGCACCCCTGTCTTGTCACCCACCCTCTGTCACCCTCCTTTGCTCTGGCTACACTGGCATTTGCCCTTGCTGTTCCCTCTGCTTGGAATGCTTTTCCACCTGATCTTCCCACAGCTAGCTCCTTGTCATGCTGGTCTCGGCTTCAATGGCACTTCCTCAGAGAAGACTTCCCTGCCTACCTAGCAGTTACTCTCAGTCCCATCAGCCTGGTTTATTTGCTTTATAGACCTTGTGACTATTTAATATTGGTTTGCCAAACTATTGGTTAATGGAGACATGGTCTGTCTCCGTGAGAGCTGGGATCTGGTTCCCCACTTATTCCCAGTACCTAGAACAATGCCTGCACTGAGGAGGTCCTGCCTATTTGCTGAGTGACTAAACTGGTTTGGAGCCCTCAGATGTGTCTGGGGGGCAGGTGATACCTATGCACCCTGGATTCTTTAGCAACTCCTGCGCCTCGTTTGTCTCAGCCCGACTGACTCTAAACACAGCCCTGGGCTGGGGGACAAGATGTACTCACTGGCCTTGAATCCAGGGACTTGCCCTGTCAGCCTGAGCCCCTCTGTCACACGGGTTTCCCCTTTCTCCCAAAGCCTGTGCCCCCAACGCTTACACTTCAGTGATATTGGCAGATGGGCAGCCCAGGAAGGTCTTTGGCAACCTCCCCGATTCCTCAACACTTGACTTGAGGGATGAAGAGATCAGAAGGCCCAAATCCCTTTCCACTTTCACTCCTGTCTTTGAAGAGGGAAGGAGGGACTTCCCAGCACTCAAAGGGACAGGAAAGAAATGCTTTTCTAGCCTCTACTGTGCACCCAGCACAGCGATATTGTTAAACCACGAGGAGAGCAAAGCATTAATTAAGCGCTTTGGAATCAGACAGACCTGGTTCAAATCCTGCTTCTGTCATTTTCTAGAGCAGAGGTCAGAGAACTGTTCCTGTAAAAGGTCAGATAAGATAGTACATATTTTAGGCTTTGCTGGTTCTTTGCTGGCTCTGTCACAGCTGTTCAAACTCTGTCACTGCAGCTATAAACAAGACTTACATGAACAGACCTCTCGCTGGATTCGGCCCATGGGCTGTAGTTTGCAAACCCCTGTTCTAGAGTAAATTAAAAAGTAAGTCTCTTTAAGAGCCTCAGTTTCCACATCTGTAAGTTGGGGATGATCTAGTACCTGACAACCTCTCCGGGTGGTGGTGAGATTTTAAATAAAGTATATAAAGTGCTGGGGCACCTGGGTGGCTCAGTCGGTTAAGCGGCTGACTCTTGATTTCAGCTTAGGTCATGATCTCAGGGTCCTGGGATCAAGCCCCACATCTGGCTCCTCGCTCAGTGGGAAGGGTTCTCTCTTTCTCCCTCTGCCCCTCCCCCAACTCACTCTCTCTGTAAAATAAATAAATAAATCTTTTAAAAAAAATTAAATGGGGTACCTGGGTGGCTCAGTCGGTTAAGCGTCTGACTTCGGCTCAGGTCATGATCTCAGGGTCCTGGGATCAAGCCCCTCGTCAGGCTCCCCACTGGGCCGAGAGGTTTGCTTGTCCCTCTGCCCCTCCCTGGCTCTGCTCTCTCTCTCAAATTTAAAAAAAAAAAAATCTTTAAAAAAAAGTATATAAAATGCTGAACCTAGTACTTGGTACACTAAAGGGCTCAATAAATGTCTCTGGTCATTGGTATTAACTAGTTGTTTAACAAACAAAAAGTGCTTTCCAGATATTAACTCACTTAAAACTCATAACGTCCTGTAAGACAGGTATCATCATCCTATTTTACAGATGAGGAAATAGAGACCCGGAGAGGTTAAGGAACTAGCTCAAGTCAGCCTGGCTCCAGAGCCCTTGCTCTTAACCACTCCACTCACTTGCGTCTCTTTTTAAATGACCCCGTTTAATCCTCACAGCAATTCCTTGAGATAGCTATCATTGCCCCTGTTTTGCAGACTGACACACTGAGGTACAGCGTCAGGAAGTAACTGGTCCAAGTAAGTAAACACAGGCTTCACTCACCACAGGACACCAAGTTGGATTTCTGCCCAAGATGTCAACATGTGTAGCCTGGCTTCCCCCTTCCCCCTTCCCCTTTCACCAGCTGTGTTTTCTTTGGATCCTTGCATGGCTTGGAGAAGCTGCGTCAGCCCATCTCCCCTCCTGACCATTCTCCCGCCCCCGCCCCCGCCCCCCCCCACGTGCATCCAAGCTACCCCTCAGGAAATGAACCCCCTCCCTCTCCCTGCAGCGTATGGACAGGCCTGTGTTGGTCTGTGGGTGTGCCTGGGAATGTGCGACAGGGGGCGGAGTTGGAATGAGGGAAGAGGTATGTGTAGGGGGCAGATGTTCTACCAGGAGTCTCTGATTACATCTCCCCAAATAAGCAGAATGACGGCGCATGGGGGGGGGGGGCGGGCAGACATTTACCAAATGGAGATAAGAGAAACACAGGACTGGGGCTTTCTGAGTTCAGCCAGGACAGAGCTGCTGACTGCCTTTCTGTGGCTTCTAAAGCTTGGACACTTGGCCTTTTGGTTTCTCCTTTTCTTTCCCATTTTCTCCTTGAAGACCAGTTCCTTTTTCTGTGGATGGAGCCGGCCACCTGGCCCCCAAAGGATCGTCCAGGTTTCAAAGTCAAGCACTCCAACGTTTCTCATGGGGTGTTGCTCCCCAGCTCTCAGGTCCTGTGCACCCCTGTCCCTGGTACCTCTCCAGCAACTGGGCCTCAAGCAGCTTACTCATCCTCTGACTTGTCTACTCTTCATGTTCACCCTCCCTCCCAGCTTCCATGCCTCTTGCAGCCTCT